AGCCCTGATGAGCAACACAGAGTATGTAGCTTTATATTGTTCTGCATTGCTAATAATGCATTGCTGGGATTTGCAGTCCTTTATAGCTTATGGTATTCTGCATTGCAGTATAATGTATTGCTGGGATTTGTAGCCCTTTATCACTGGTGGTATTCTGCATTGTTGTATAATGTATTGCTGGGATTTGTAGTCCACTGTAGCTGGTGGTATTCTGCAATGCTGTATAATGTTTTGCTGGGATTTGTAGTCCCTCTCCAGCTTAGTCAGTTGCAGAACTACCAGGCTTGTAGCTGCGACTGGGCCCTGGTGCCGCACCACTGTCCTAAAATCATTAGTCTGTATTGTTTTAGAAAAACTGTCACATGACACACAAAAAAGGTATTTGTAATTGGTATTAGCGAGTACTTGAGGAAAAGTATCGGTACTTGTATATGGTCTTGACAAAATAGTATTGGTGCATTCCTAGTATAATTTATTGCTGGTATTTGTAGCCCTCTTTAGCTGACAGTATTCTGCATTGCCGTGTAATGTGTTGCTGGGATTTGTAGCCCTCCATAGCTGATAGTATTCTGCATTGCTGTATAATGTATCACTGGGATTTGTAGTCTCTCTACAGCCTGGAGTCAGTGGCAGAACTATCAGGGTCGCAGCTGTTGCAGCTGCGACCGGGACCTGGCGCTGCACCACTGTCCTAAAATCATTAGCCTTTATTGGTTTAGAAAAACTGTCACATGACACTAAAAAAAGTATCATAGTTGGTATTGTAGCGGCAAACAGTTTTGGAAAACCAGTAATGGACTCCGGACACAGACTTCAGGAATACAAATACAAAGGGTGGTCACAACATATATAATAACAATTGCGTCACAATACACATTTCCTTCACATATTTCCTTTACATCTATAAGCCGATCAGCAAGCAGCATTTGCAATTTTACTATATATGGGTTGAATCTTTTATCTGTTTGGCTCATCTAGACACATACTGCCACTGCCGTTATGCATTGTCAGTGAAACAGGAAGGGAGGGGGCCCTAGTTATGTGCAGGTGTGCAGGATTTAAACAACGAGAGCCATTTTGTCAAGCCTAGCCATTTTGTCTGCTGCCACAGTATCAGCGAGTACTTGAGGAAAACTACTTGTACTTGGTCTGTAGCAGAACAGAAATCCAGAAAAAGCAATTTGATTTCTGAAGTAAATCAAAATTACAAGCTATGAGAATGAAGTAAGAAAATTGGTGTAAGTGGTGGCAGCCAAATGTGCAGATATTCCCTCACAACCTGTACATTCCTTTTTACTGTATTGTGTGGATGTGGTATGTGCTGTTCAGGTTTACCTTTTGGCTACAACTTCATTTGGATTTACTTTTTTTCATCATTTCTGAGGATCTCCATAAGGACCTGCTTTCCATGGATTAGGCAGTTTATTACCAATCCCATGGGCTTATAAATAGGGTTTCCGTCCTTTCCATTCACAGCGCACTCCACTAGATCTGTTAGTACCTCATGGTCTTTTTAGCATCAGTCATTCAAGACTGCCACCTAGTCCTCTGTTCACATGTTGATCAAGTTCTACGTGGTGGATGTTCAGGCCCCGTCTGATGCAGCTTCAGTTGTAAGGTTTTTGACGTGGCTTTGTGAGCTCTTCTAGCTCCACTGTTGACCTATTGTTCACAGGCCTACTGTTAGTGTTTTGTTTACTATGTTGCCTATCCCTCATTTGGTCTACATTTGGACATGCCAATTGTCTATTTCATCTGTCCTGTGTCCCATAATGAAGGATTAAGAAAATTGGATTTTTAACTTACAGTAAAATCTGTTTCTTGGAGGTCATCAAGGGACCTACTATTGCTTTTCCACAAAACTGGAGCATGATTGTAGTGGGAGGGGGTTATATCTAGCTGAATTCAAAAAAGACGGTTCCCCAAACAAGGAAATCGCTATATTGGAGCTGATCAAGTAAACAGGTGACACAAAATGGTAATGATGTATAAAAATTTATATTTAATGACAAAGAAAAATACACATAGGATCCAATATAACAAGACATCTAAGAACAAGTAAAAAGACATCCCCTTGAAATTCCACTTAGTAATAGTAATATGAGTGATAATCTAGAGACCACCTCAGTGGTAAATAGTCACTAATATATACACATTGATGTGTTTTAAAGACGGATACAATGTATCAGAGCGTACTCACAACCTGTGTGGTTTGCGATGAGGGACAGTCCCTGTTTAAACGTGGATGGAGTAAATTCTGTGAGGTGTATCTTAGTGTGGGATTGTGACTCCAGATAGTAGTTATCCTTGTTTGTCTGGAGGCTCCGATGAGCGTGTCACTCCCTGCTCAATTGAGCTCACAATTATCAGCGGGTGTCGATCACTTCTAATCCAGAAAATAATCCGGGAGTTGTTTCCAGCATGTGCTGCCACACAGCGAAGTGAATAAAGACACACTGGGCTGAAAGGTGGATGGTAGGATGGAGCAACCTCAGCCCACAAGCTGTTCTCAATCTCGGTTCAGTTTCCTACAGATTTCATTGCAGTTACGAGATAACAGCGGTTAAAGGGTTTTCATTCCGTCCTGTCCTGTTAATCGACAATGAGAAAGTTGTTTCCTTCACTCGACCGTGGTTGAGGTAAAGCGGGTATCCAAGGGGAGTCTGAAACACACGCTGACCCTTACGCGTTTCCCCCCAAACCACTGGGGCTTCCTCAGAGGGGCGTGTAGTCAGTGTCTTGCATCAATGTGTTATATAGCTCACTAATGAGAGCCTATTAGAATCCTGATTCGACAATTTAACACAGCTGTGTATAGATCTAAATTGATAAACAATTCATTTTTTACAAGAGGCTTTAATAATAATAAACAGACACCTGTGCGGTCATAAATAAATTCCCAATGCCCTCCAATGTCAGTTAAGTATATACAGAGACCATAAATCAACATATAAACCCAAAGATAGCCTAGCATATAGGTGGTGTTAATATCCACCATGTCTGCCAGAAAACAACACAGTGGGAGACATGCTGGAAGGCAGCTTACAATTTATAAAGGGGTACTCCAAAGGAGAACAGGAGGACAACCTAAAGTCAATATTGCAAACTTTTTTGATGATGATTATGATTGAATAGTGTCCGAAAGTATACTGGATCTTCCATAAATGGTAAAAAAACAATTATCAAGTGTAGACTAAAGTCCAACACTATCTCGTTGATGATAATAGCCAGTAGATGGAATATAAGGGTTATAGAAAAGGGGGGTTTAGTGCAAATATCCATATGCACCCAAATCTATAAAGGTTGGAACAAGCCGATTCAAATATATGTATATATATAAAACATAAAAAAAAAATATATATATAAAAATAAGAATACTTCCGCTAGTGATCCACCTGAGTTTCTGGTCACCAGTTAACCCCATGTGATCCAGTATAATTCGGGACCCTTAAAGTCCTGTACAATTATAAAGAGCAACATCAGACATAAACCAAATCTGCTGATATCGGTGGCTATAACTGATATCCTGGACATTGAAGTGATAAGTATATAAAATAAAAGTGCTAATTAAGAAATAAAGAGAGAAGCATTATGTTTAAAGCGCAGCCAGGTCATAAGTAGCAACTGAAGTTGATCATGTCATTGAGACCCGGGGCTTCATGAGATGCGGTCTGGTGGATCCACCTACATTCCCTTTGTAGGAGAAGCTTGTCCCAATCCCCCCCTCGTCTGGGTTGATGGACTCTGTCCAGTGCAAAGAAGCGAAGTCTGTCAGTCTGTCCATTATGCGTATTCACAAAGTGTCTAACTATGGGTGATCTCAGATCTCTGGCCGATATGTCGGCCAAATGATCCGAGATCCTGTTCTTAAACATGCGTTTCCTTTTACCAACGTAAAACATGTCACATTTGCATAACATCAGGTAGATCACTCCCTTTGTCTCACAGTTGACAAAGTGGCCAACCTTAATCCGTTTCCCCAAAGGGGTGGTTATTTCTGTTCCCGTATGGACAAACCGACAGAATTTGCACCTCATTGCACCATGTTTAAGAACAGGATCTCGGATCATTTGGCAGACATATTGGCCAGAGATCTGAGATCACCCATAGTTAGACACTTTGTGAAAACCCTGGAGACTGATATAGATCACATATTATAATCTGTTTATAACGTAACTCCTTACTCCCCTTGTTTCTTATATCTAGCTGACTCACAACTTTGTTTACCAGTGTTCAGTCTCCTGTATACAGAAGCATAACCCAATGATCTAAGATTTCATCTGTCCTGTGTAATAAATTAAGCAAACAATATACATTTACACTACATACCCTTTCAGAGAGAGAGATAAATTGCTGATCGTTCTATGCAGCAACAAATCTACAAATCCCTATGTATAATATGTAATAAAAAATAGGTAAGTGCTTGTAATACGTAAATGTCCTATAAAGAATCGTTTTAAAGTATATGTGAAGCAAAACCTTTTTGTGTGTGTTTTGGATAGAGTGCGGAAGAGTTAGAACCTCTTTCAAGTTATCATTGGTTTGTGTCCCCTCTGGGGAGATTAATTGTCAATATTTGTCCTGGTAAACATTGTCAGAAGAACTGCTGGTCAGGTGAAGATCCAAAATTTCACAGTCTTACCAGAGCAGGAATGCAGTACAACCTGTTCTGTGGACAACTGCCAAAAAAGGGATTTGCCTTCATTTCCTCTTTTTTTGTGCGTCTTGGACAGGAAGTTAAGAGAACTATCTATAACTGAACATAGACAGGAAAGGAAAAAAACAAGTATTAACCATTCTACATTCTATCTAAAAGAAAGGTTTGGCTTTAGATAAACTTTCAAGTAAACCTCAATAATAATCCAAATGTATGCTGAAGATTCATTTTTTTCCCCCTTTAAATCACAGAATTGTAACAGATAAATGCTAGTT